ACCATCGTCCCGGGCTTCAACCCAGAGCACCCGGCGGCTGAGCGACAGTGCCCCAACATTGTCCGGGAGCCTCTTCTGACCCTTCCCGTTACTTCCCACAGGCCCCGCTTCCCTTCTGGAATACGCCAGAACAACAAAACCCACAGGCCAGCCAAGAACCCTAAAGCCTAAAATGGCCCAGAAAGCACCCCCGCCCCTGTGCGGTGCCACGCTTACGGACAAAGCACGGTCCCGGCTCAGAGGGCTCTGGATGTGGGATGAAAGATGCCCTTGGTTCAAACCCTGGCCAGTCTTCCAGACGGCCGTGGATAAGCAGCTCAGCCTCGGTGAGCCTTCCAGTCCACGGGTGGTGCCTGGGGACCTACGTGCGTTCAGGCCACCGTGCTGACATTTTGCTCCATGGGGGGGCCACGAGTCAGGGGAGGCTACACACCATGGCACCCCGCTCTCCTCAAACCTACCTGGGGGAGACAGGTAACGTGGGCTTACGTGGACTCTCCCACGGGTGCTGACCGCCCACCTAAGCTGGCCTGCGGGAAAGCGGGCTGCAGTGGGGGCGGACCCGGCAGATCCCCCGCCAGTGAACGCCTGCTGACAGCCAGGCCACGGGGCCCGGCGCTCCGTTTTCCTCCCCCATGAATGGACAGTAGCTTTGCTGCAAGGCCCCTCTGTGCTCTGTCCTCCACGGCCTCCACAGGGCCCGGGCCACGCCACAGACCCAATAAATAAATGCTTGTTGAAAGCAGGAGTGAATGAGAGCAAAGGAGGATGGAACCCAGGGCAGAAAGATCAAGCAGCTTCCGGCCTCCTCCTCTGTGGGCCCATTCATAGGGAGCACGTGTCCCGGAGCCCCTCACCCGCCAGCCTGGCTCCCCCGAAGCCTCACATATGAATATTCATGTGCACAGGGGGGCCGTCACATGGTGGGGTCAGAGAACTGAGTGGCGGGGGTCACCAAAAAACCAGCAGCACCACCTGCTACCACTGGGGCGGAAGCCGGCCCCTGTCCCGGCCCGGGCAGTGAGCGGGCGCGCGCCAGCCAAGGCCTTCTGAACCCCCAGGCTGTGGGCCCCTCTCTTACCAGGTGGCCGCTTTGTGCATCTGGAACAGAGGAGGAAGTGCCCCGCTGACCTGGGGGGCTCCGGCTGCCCCCCTCTCAGCCCTCGGCACTTCCTCCCAAGGCCCCCAGTGCCGCTTGGAAAGAACTGGAAATGGCAGGGCTGGCTACAAACAGCAGCCTTCAAAAAACAGTGTTCCTTTCATCCAGAGGACACAGCTACCAGGGCTTGGGCGGAGACTCTCTCATCTTTCAGACCGATGAACGTGTTTCTGGGCAATGGGGTGGCCCAGAAAACACGACCGAGCAGGTTTTCCTAGAGACTAGTTGGTAAGTCTTGCTCCAGGGAGGGCTCCGAAGATGGAAGGGAAGGCACTGTGACCAGGCTCCCGTGCACCCAGGAGCTGCTGCGAGGCCATCTCCTGCAGAGCTGTGAGCCGGAGCACCAGACCTGCGCCACCACCTCTGGGGACGGCCATGGGCGGCTGGGTGACAGTGCTCCAGCCCAGCACTGTCCCACTGGGGCCCCTAATGCTCATCACGTAGGGCAAACGGAAATACCTCTATCTACTTACAAAACTATACACAGTATGACCCCAACTATGTACAAACAACTGCCCAGAAAATACAGGAAGCAAAGAAGCTAACATGTTAGCACTGGTTACCTCTCAATGCTAGACTCTGAGGTGACTTTTCCAGGACATACACGGCCACAGAAGGTTTCTGCAGCAGTCCAAGATAGCATGACGATTCCAGGATTAGGCGCCATAAGCACTGAACCTGCCTCTAACTTGCTGTGTGGCCCCAGAGGAATGGGCAGCCTCTCTGGGCTTTGGTGTCCCGTTTTCTCCCCAAGTCGCTGGTTAAAATGCCAAGTGTGTCAAAACCAAGAAGAGGGCCCTGGGTTGGGCAAGAGGTAAGAGATGGCAAACTAGCGGTCCACGAACCATGCTGGTGACCTGTAGACAGATTCCATCAGCCCCAACAATGTTCCCAATTTTTTAAAATTCACGGTCAACATTTAAAAATAGATTTCAGAAATTTAAGTTTCAATCTCCTCTTTAAAAAACTGGATTCAGGGGCACCTGGGTGGCTCAGTTGTTAAGCGTCCCCCTTCGGCTCAGTCATGATCCCAGGGTCCTGGGATCGAGCCCCGCATCGGGCTCCCTGCTCGGCGGGAAGCCTGCTTCTCCCTCTCCTGCTCCCCCTGTTTGTGTTCCCTCTCTGTCAAATGCGTAGAGTCTTAAAAAAAAAAATTGGAGGGGTGCCTGGGTGGCTCAGTTGTTATGCGTCTGCCTTCGGCTCAGGTCATGGTTCCAGGTTCCTGAGATCGAGTCCCGCATCGGACTCCCTGCTCCGCAGGAAGCCTGCTTCTCCCTCTCCCACTCCCCCTGCTTGTGTTCCCTCTCTCGTTGTGTCTCTGTCAAATAAATAAATAAAATCTTTAAAAAAAAAAAATTGGATTCATAGTAGCCAAAAAGTGGAAACAATCCAAATGTCCATCAAGTGCTAAATGGTTAAACACAATGCGGTCTGTCTATAAAATGGAATATTCTTCAGCCAAAAAAGGGAAGGTAGGGACACATGCTACTACATGGATGAACTTTGAAAACGTTAAGCTAAGTGAAAGGAACAAAGACCATCATGTCTGACTTCATTACATATCTGAAACAGCCAGATACCGGCAGATCCAGAGACAGAGTGTCATAGACCGGTGAGTGCCAGGGGTTGGAGGGAGCGGCAACAAGGAGTGACTGCTCAGTGGGAACGGGGTTTCTTCCCGGGGTGATGGAAACGTCCTGGGATTAACAGTGAGGGGTGCACGACACCGTGAGTGGCTACGAACTACTGAACATGTCTGCCGTCACGTGGGGTGTGATGGTTAGCTGTCACTGGGCTCCGGCTACCTCTCCTTGGCTCTGTCCTGTCTCCGGCTGGCTCCTGGTTTCCGCTGCGTGCAGGTGTGTGAGAACCCCAACAGCTGGAGGTGGCCCCGCTTCACCCACCAGGAGACTCCCCAGCACCCCCTGAGGTTAAAGTTTGGCTCCATCAAGACCAGCTCCGGGGCACAGCACTGTCCACCAGCCAAAGGAAGGGAGGAGCAACCTGGTTCACTGAAAACTCATAAATCCGGTCTCTCCTGACCAGGTAACGCACACCCCTAGTAAAGTTAAGTCAAACAGTTAAAAAAAAGGTAGACAGTGAAAGTCTGTCTCCCTCCCACCTCCCCCCAGGCCCCACCCCAACCACCTCCCATCAGTCACTGACTCAGCATAATCTTAAACTCACCTGGCTCTAGGGTGACTGCTTTCTTTCCTGGACACTAGAAAAACGTCCCGTCTGCATCATGACCCATGATGACAACTTCGAAAGGGACTGAGAGTCTTTCCTGAAGAACATCCTACCACAACTCAAGGTGGCCATCACATTATAGAGCAACTATTTTTCAGACTTAACACAAAACTCAAAAGCCACTGTCTGGAAGGGGCCCAGGTGGGCATTTCCAGAACTGCCTTCGCTATCCCCATGTATGCTCAGCAAGACTTTAGCCCACAAGCTCCCTGGGGCCACAGTACACAGGCCACGGACCACGTGAACCGCCAAGCTCCTGGCTGCCATGGGACTCTGGCTTTCAGTGAGCGAGACCTGTAAGCCATTTGGCCTGCAGTTTGCCCCAAGGCCCAGAGAGCTCCTGCCAAAGGGAGTCTGGGGATCTGCCCAGGTCCCCGACGCCAACCACATCGCCAAAGGACATCTGGGGCTGACATGGCCTTCTGGACACGGCTGCCAAGCCCTGAGTGGGCAGGGCCCTGACCCCACGTCCCTGCTCCCCACGGCCTGTCTCCGCACCCACCAAACCACTGCCTGCCCCCAGGCTCTCACAAGGCCAGCCTTCTGCTGGGAACACCCTTGCCTCTTCTTGGCCTGGTCACCTCCTGCTCTTCTTTGCAGATTGCTCCGAGACGCCTGCCTCATGCCCACCAGCCTCCTGAGCTAAGCCCCGTCCTGGGACGCTGGTATCCCCATCTTGCCCACATCTGCCCAGGACCTTGAAGGCAGGACCATTACCTGTTTGTGTCGGAGTCCCTGGATAGCAGGACAGAGCCTGGCATTTGGTACACTTCGGCAAACATCCAGGGAACCAAGCTGAATACAAAAGATGGTTCCAGTTTGGGGAAACAGAGACCCCAAAGAGATATAGGCAAGCTGCCATAACATATACAACTGCAAGTTCCCAGACAGATCAGCCGTGGCTGGCAGGGCTCAGAGCACCCAGAGGGAGCCTCCCAGAGCAGCAGGCTGGGTTGGAAGCCATCACCAAGCCCGCAGGCCAAGCCCTGTGTCCAGCAATCAGGAAACCCCTACGCCCAAGACTTCTACCCACACTCAGGTTGCAAATCTCCTCCCACAGATTCTCTTAGGTTCGGCATTAAACAGAACTTTAAAGTATCCACTTAACCTAGTAAACGGACTTACTGTTGCTTTAAATAACAAATAAGAATTACAGCAAATGTACCCTTTCGTCAGCAATCATAGTACGCACATCCTAATTTCCAGCTACGCCTAATTACAGCAACTTGACTGAGAGGTTTCATGCTGTGTATTACGGTTTCTTAACCTGGGGTGCTGGGTGCAATTCTGAGGCCAAGAGACTGGACACATGTCCCAGAGGAGGGACAAGGCATTTCTGATGCGTGTGGGAAGCAGAGAGGAAGTCAGCTTTCCCTCTACCAAAGCAGAAAACCATTCAAAACAGGAAAGCACCGTACCATAGTCCTCAGGAGGACCCGACTGGGCGTTACATCACATCCGGGGACTGGGGAATCCTGGGCACCCACCACCAAAGACCTGCCCCACTCCCACCTCCACCAGGTGAGAGAGAGCAGGAAGCTCGGCCCTATCCAGCAGGCAGGCATGGGAGACAAATGAGGCGGGTATTTACCGAACGGTGGCCAGGGGTCTGAAGTGCTGGCTGGGGCCGCCGGCCCGCCCCAAGGGTTTGTCTGGTTAGCTGAGGCTGACCGGCCCCAGGGCTCTGCTTTCTGGGCAGCAGGGCCTGAGCTGGGGAGGGCGTCCATTAAATCCAACAGAGTGGTCTGCTGTGGGTGGGAGCCATGCTTTTGAGACAAAGAGAAGGGGACAGGTTTTACTTTGCTACAGTTGGAGCAAATATCCACGAGTTAGCTGTTAGCCATAAATACCGTCCGCGCCTCTTGGGACAAGAAGCCCTCTGGACGGGGCCAAGAGGAAACTGAGCTGCCCCATCTCGTCCCATCTCCGGCCCCACCCGGCCCACCACCCCACTAACCACTTCCCACTCCAGCCCAGGCCCCACCCACATGGAGCTGTTTGCTTTGGGCCCAATGCCCCACCCACTTGCAAACAGCCCCCAGGGCTTTCTAGGATAACACAGGCTTTGCCCGGGGCTACAGCGTCCCTCCAGAATGCTGTCCCCACCCACCCAGCTGGCAGCCATCATCCAGGGCCCCCTCTCCCGGGGCCTGCCCTGCCCTGCCCTCCCGCTCCCACAGCCACCAGAGCTGCAGTCAGGGATCCTGTGGCACCGTGACGTGGGAGGCCACCAGAACCCCGGGCCCTGTGAGGGGAGGGGGGGGCCTATCTTGTGACCGGAAGAGCTTGCTGGGAGCAGAACCATGTCCTGGTCACCTCGGGGCCCAGGCTGGCAGCCTGGCGCAGGGTAAGGCTGATGATAGCAGTGAAGCCCAGCACTACTGAGCCTTACCCCGAGCCAGGAATCTGTCCCAAAGCACGGGACACTTGGCTCCTGGAACAGTCACCTGACCGCATGGCTACCACCGTGCTCGTTTAACAGGGGAGGAAACTGAGGTCCTGGTCCAGAGGCCCCTCACCCGGGCCCATCTCTTCTCAGGCTGGTCTGGGGAGAGCCTCGGGAGTAAGGGCACAGGTGGGGGTGTTTTCAATCAGGTCCTCCCCTCACTCGTGCTCATCACAAAGGAGTATACGAGAAGGCGGAGAAGGCACCGTGCTCTGCGGGTTAGGCTTGAACACTCGGCAACCATGGTGGGACCGGTCCTAAAGGTAACCTTCCCGGTGAGGCGCTTACCTCCTTCTTTTTTGGAACCTTAACCGTGTCTCTTCGGCTTTCTTCTAGGGCCATCTGTAATCTGAGGTCGTCACCCCGCCTGAGGCGTTCTTCCTGGAGGACAATGGGACTGTAATGACATCACTGTGCAGAACAAAGCAACGCGCCAGGAACAGGACGCGCAAATCAGAGTACGCATTATTGCAAAGGAAGATGGGAAAACAACCTGTAAAATAGTTATTCTTCTGTCCTGCGAGTGTAGCCCAGAGGGCTCGTGTCTGCCCCACCCCGCTACCTTGTGTGGGTTCCCTGGTTTTGGGGTCCCACCGGGGAGACGGGGGGAGGCACAGGCACTGCCAAGCTGGGGAAAGGGAACGCTTAATCTAAAATGCTTTTATCTTAAAATGAAAATGGCTTTATAATTCTAACTATAGAAGCAACGCGTCTCCTTCTAAAATACAAAAGCCTGAGAGCCCAGAAAGGAATCAGGGAGAGGGTGAAAATCACCGATCACTGCGTGTTTGTTTCCAGGATTTCAAACAGAAACGATTCACTATACAGTTGACCCTCCAACAACACGCGCGTTAAGGGCACCAAGCCCCCCACAATCCACATACAAATTTGACTCCTCAAAAATTTAACGACTAAGAGCCAACTGCTGACTGGACCCTAAGTAAATCGCTTAAGGCATATTCTGTGTATTATGCTGTGTTCTTACAATAGAGTAAGCTAGAGAGAAGAAAATCTTATTAATAAATTAAGAAAGGGGCAATGGATTTACGGCACCGTTTTTATTGACAAGAATCCACACTTAAGTGGAGCCGCACAGCCCAAAACTCATGTTGTTCAAGGGTCACCTGTATCTAATTTATATTTATTTAAGGCACAGTCACCACAGGCAGGAGACTGGGCTGTCCTAGCTTTTACAGCATCACAAAATAGAAATAAGTTCCTTGTATTTTATTTATTATAAATATGATAAATCACAGAGATGAGTTATGAGCGGAAACGGGCTCCGACTGCCCCTCTGTCCCTGCATTCTTGCCCCTTCTCCCCGGGCTGTCCGGGACAGAGCCAGGCACCCACAGGGACGGATCTAATCGCTGTGCTTCTCCCACTGTGAACAGGGGAGCTGAAACTGAAGCTGTCCACCGCGGTCGCGCTTTAGGAGGTCTCCAGTTACAGTGACACAAATCGCCTTTGCACTTCTGTCGAACTACCCCTAATCTCTGTCTCTGCACATCACTTCTAGGGGACAGAGAGCCTTGTGCTCGCGGACTCCATCTACACTCCCTAACCCAAGGTCAGCGGGAACAGACCTGATCGCCGGGACCAAAGGGACACACCTTTGAAAGGTCATTTCCAACACGCCTTTCCCTCCTTGTCCATGTTAAGTAATGCGTGATTAGTAGAGAAAAACAGGAACTGAAAACAAATTAAAACTACACTTCCATCACTGAAACATAATAAAGGCTCTTATTACCTGCAGCTTTTCCTCCTAGCCTTGTTTTTCAGCATTCAGATGCTCCTGAGCCGTCTTAACAAACTGCCTTCCCCCGGGGCTGAGCCCACACGCCCTGCACGGAGGGGGCTGTGGACACCCAGGCTCATTCGAAGGGACCATGACACGCGGCTGTGTCAAGAGAAGTGTTTCTGGGGGGCACTCTGACCAGTTCACCCACTGGCTCACAAAAAGCTTCCCTAAATGGAACTGTGTAGGACCCCCTCCCTGACCGGGGTGGGGGGGCAGTGGGGGGCAAGAACACTGCTGTGGCAACGCCAAGTCCCATCTCGAGAAACACATCGGAAACACTGAGGCCAGTGTCACCGTCCCCCCTGTGACCCACGCCCCCCCCCCCCCCGTCCCCAGCCCCCAGCGAGCAATCACACCTGCCTGGCACCAACCTGCTCAGCTACTTCTCGGCTCATGGCAAGTGCCAACTGAAGCTGTAGCTCTTCCTCTCCGCTCGTCTGCGGCCGGGCCTGCTCCAGCTCGGAGGACACCCTCGGGGAAGTGGCTGCGGGGGGGGGGGGGGGGGGGGGGGGGGGGGGGGAGGCAGAGTCACCACATGCACAGGACAGGCTCACGCTCACGGTTTCCTGGTCAGACCACACCTCGTCCCCATCTCACACCCGCAAAGCCTGACAACGTGGGCGCCGTACAGGAGAGGCCTGTGAACATGTCCAGGTTAAAATCAGTAACGCCAAACGTGGATCCTCAGGGACATAAGCCATGTGGCCGGCCACAATCAAGGCAAGAGGCCTTCGGGGGCAAGGCCGCAGGCCCAGCCTCGTGAGGATTAGAACCTCCGTCTTCGCTTCAGAGCGGCACTGCTTCAAAGAGAGAAACTAATATATATATGTATTTTTTTTACAAAATCAAAAGTATTGCTCCCTGAACAGCTGGATCAAAGAGCGTCACTCACACAAGCACAGGGCATCTGTGGACCAAAAACTTCACTAGAGACACCTGCCAGCATTTAAGAATCTCACTTTGTATCTCATGGTGGTAAAGATCATGGAAAACGAAGCCCAAATGGTTCTGCAGCAACCCGGAAAATTTTCGTTTTCTACGTAAAACTGTGCATTGACTTGGGAAAACTTTTTTTTTTTTTTTTGCTGTAAGCAGTTAGCTAGTACCAGCACTTATAAGCAGCTCCTGGAAAGACAGTTTTTTTTTTTTAAGATTTTATTTATTTATTTTTGAGAGAGAGAGAGAATGAGAGATAGAAAGCACAAGAGGGAAGAGGGTCAGAGGGAGAAGCAGACTCCCCGCTGAGCAGGGAGCCCGATGCGGGACTCGATCCCGGGATTCCAGGATCATGACCTGAGCCGAAGGCAGTCGCTTAACCAACTGAGCCACCCAGGCGCCCTGGAAAGACAGTTTTACCAGTGGGATGAGATGTGGACTCCTGGCTGATAAAACTCCAGGAAAGGCCTCTACGCATTCACACTTACGCAGGGCTGGGCCTCCCCAGACGGAAAATGCGGGCACTTACAAGGCCATCGGGATGTTCTGCGTATCAGAGAGTGTGGGTGTCTCCAGAAACTGGACATAAAACTTTGGGAGCATGGGGCCACCTCTGCCTCCACCCCAGAAGAGGGTCCACAGCTTTCTGAGATTCTCAAAGCCAGGCCCCACTGCCTTCAATGGTTCCCCACTCCATCCTCCCTCTGGGTCTCCAGGGAAAGCCATTCCCTCAGCTCACCCAGCCAACTCCTCGGTTCTCAGAGCTCAGCAACCCTGCCGTGGTCCTGCGTGACTGCCCTCCTCGCCGGGGCTGGGTCAGCAGCCCCACCCCGCCATAGCACTCCCCCTATCCTGCAGTTTGGTAGATCATGCCAGAAGGTACGCTCCTTGAGGAGGGTCCACGCCTGTCTTCTCACCATTACATCAATCCTCAAAGTTTGGCAGAGTGGATGGCAAATACCCACTGGATAGACAGATGCATGGAAGCATGCACAGACGGGATGGACGGACAGACAGATGGAGAATTCAATTTCATGGTGGATGGGTAGTTGTTCGAAAATGCTCTAATTGTGTATCAGTTTTCTTCCTTCTCTCATTATGTCCATTTCAGCAAACCCAACAACCATCAAGCCTCACCAATGCAAATGCTGTTCCCGCCTAAAACTCCAATCTGGGGCGCCTGGGTGGCTCAGATGGTTAAGCATCTGCCTTCAGCTCAGGTCATGATCCCAGGGTCCTGGGATCGAGTCCTGCATCGGGCTCCTTGCTCCTTGGGAGCCTGCTTCTCCCTCTGCTTCTCTCTCTCTCCCTCTCTCTCTCCGTCTCTCATGAATAAATAAATAAAATCTTTAAAAAAAAAACAAAAACTCCAATCTGAACTTGCTTCTTAGGATTGCCTCTTTGGGAGAAAGTAAATAAGGTCAGGAATGATTCCTGAAAGATGAGATTTCTAGTTGGCTAGGCTCTGGCTACCGTGAACAAAACATGATAAGAGGACTAGATATAGTTAGGGTAACAGAAGAACCAGGCAAAGCTGCAAGAGGACGAGGGCGAGGCAGGGCAGGAGAGACTAAAAGGCAATGCTCTGTCACACAATTTTTTTGACAAACACACAAAACACACAGCTGTTAAGAGTTCATTTGGAACAGCCCTGTGTCATGCTATGATTTACTGTCATCTCAAAAGACTAGGGGAAAAAAAAGCCAGCAACCAACTGCCTCACATCTACTTGAACAAGACAAAGATCGAAGGGAGGAAGGAAGGAAGGAAGGAAGGAAGGAAAAGAAAGAAAAAGAAAAAGGAAGAAAAAGAGAAAAAAGAAAGGAAGAAAGAAATAAAATAAAATAAAATAGAAAAGAAAGAGAAAGAGAAAGAAGAAGGAAGGAAGGTCGGTCAGTTGGTCAAGTTGAATCCCAGCCTAGTTATATCACATTTACCTTTCCCAGAGTATTTGTTTTAAAAATACAGCTAGGTGGTAAGAAAATGTCAAGTCCGCCTTAATAATGGGATTCATTAACAACATACCAAGACAAAAGTACTTTTTTTGTTATTGCTGGTTTTGTACGAAGCCTCCCCTATGCCAGTGACAGTGCTTAGGTCTCTGCCTGAGCTTTCTTGTACTCCAGAAGCAAAGGTGTCACCACCCAGATTTGCTGGAGACTAAAGAAGCCGCACAGATTCGGGGAACGGTTCTGGAGGCCTCTTCTCAGCTGACTGTGGTTCCCACACAGATCCCTGGCCACTCGGGCTGCCTGTTCCCAGCCGCCTTCCCGATAATCTCGGAAGCTCGCTTCACAGAACCCTCTGTTTATAACGAACACAGCACACTCGGCACCCTTCATTCACTACCACACGGAAATGGGGGGCACATAAAGAAGACCTATATCCCATCCCACACCCCGAGAAAGGGCTCTGAAAAAGGAGCCCCATCTTGGCTCCTCTTGGCAGGGGAAGCTGCCACTTGGCGGCTCCACCACAAGGCCTGATTCAGTCTGGCCAGGGATGAATGCGACAGGGCTCTGAACAGGGACCTTCTAGAGAAAGGAGCCTCCCTTGTCCTGTGAGCCTTTCGGCACATCTGCAAGGCCAGACTGGCTTCGGATGCAAATGTACACGTCCCTGTCTGCCATACTGACACTGGTCGCATCATGCATAGCCACCACATACGGAAAGAGCTTACCACATCAATGTGGAAATTAAAGACAAAGGGTATTCCCCTAAATGCTGTGGTTTTTGTCAACGGATGTACAGCTGTCAGTTCTGCAGATGGCAGAATTCACAGCCACCGGCCCCGACTATTAGCTGAGTTGCACACAGCGGTCTCCACTGCGAGGGATGACTCCAGCGGAGACATTCTTGACTTAGTGACAGCAGCTCAGCCCCACAAAGGGCCCCCTGTGCCCATGTACATGACAGTGAACACAGATGGGCTTGTGAGACGGGCCTGAATGCACCCTTGGGACCACCTGAGCCTGGCCCAGCTTGGAGAGGCTGCAGGTCCCCAGGTTTCACAGGGACCCCTGGAAAACGCCACGTGCCCAAGAGAGAGCTTTCCCACCCGCCACCTTCTGGATGGAAGACTAGGAACCGTTAGTGTAGGCTCATCACCAGCGAAGCAGCAAATGCTCCATCACCCTTTTCCTACCACTAAGATGTCTTTTTGTATACAGATCCCACCTGGAGGAACTCAAAGTCCTGGCTTGCTGTGGCCGAGAATTACAAACATTGGCTAAGGCCTCAATTTTAACCCTTCTGGCCTGTTAACCTGGCTGAGAAAGCCCAGGGGAAAGGCTGAAGAGGAAGCCTATAAAAACCAACTTTTCCCTCCAAATACAGGCTAAGAGGAAGACCAAGAAACACCTCCCCCTGCAGAGAGATGAGAGAGTCTGGCATTCACGCCACACACACACACACACCCCCCCCCGGGGAGTGCCGGGCCAAGTGGGCATGCCCACACCCCGGGCTTCGGGAAGGACCTGTTCCCCAAATGTGCTCCTAAAGCAAAGGCTGAAAGATTTTCTAACAAAGATACTTCAGTTGGCCAATCTCCGGCCATTGTGAAAGAAGAAATCGAAGCAGTCAAGGTAAGAGGAAAATAGGAAATCACTTCTCAGGCTGTTTCGCTATTTTCCTAGAAAGCACTTATGCAGCATCTGCAATCACATCGATTAAAGGGAAGAGACACTGTGGGACACAACCTGACGGGCAAAGGGCTCTGCATGGTGATGAGCGTGACTTCTATTAAAGCTCTCTGGTCCGTGAGCCCCACACAAGGTGAGCACCTGGTCTCCACCGGTCCCCGGCAAATCGATGCTGGGCGCACAAGGCACAGTGGACACCTCGGGGGCCCGAGAAGACTCCATCTGGTTCTAAACACTGCTGCCACCATTTACAATCCTGGGCCTGTTGGTATACAGGCATGCCAGGGTTCAAATCCCATCCCCGCCACTTACTAGCAGGGAGACCACGCGCAAATAGCCTGACTTCTCCGGGCTTTTGTATCCACATCTGTGAAACGGAGACAAATGGGGTCTGTGGGAGGGGTCAGGGGTGCCCAACACACAGCTGGCTCTCCCCGGAAAATGTGCCTTTCCCCAGGTCACTGCTCTCTGTTCCATTCCATGACCACCAGACGACCTAGGGGCTGGAGCTGGCTGGCACTCCCAGTCTCCACCTCACACAGCAGAAGCCATAAATACATATCCTGTTGTACCCTGGCCCTTCCCAGGCCTCCATGAGAACGGGACTGGGGCCACGGTCCTTTGAGGGAGGAGCTAGGGAGTGGATACTGAACCCCAGGGCCAGCTTCCGCCCTCCAGTGACCGGTTCCCCGGCCAGCTAAGTCCCTTCCTCATTACTGAACTGCAGCGAAGTGCTTACTGGATCTTTCTCAATGCCACGGTGACATCTTCCTGTGGTTCCATGGCCCACTTCCTGAGCCAGCAATGAAACCTCGGCCACCCCCACCCAGCAGCCTGGCCAGAGCTGAGGCTCTGAAGCCTGTTCCCACAGAAGACCCTCCAGGATCTTCATCTTACCTCCTCACAG